GTACATTGTTGCACCTACGCAAGAAATGCCAGAATTCCAGAAATTAATGCTCTGGAATTCCATTGCACGCCTGGATCTTTGAACAAACGCTTGATAATTGTCTGCAACGAACCATGATTAAACGATTATCGAAGGCCACAACAAGCATCAGAAAAAAAATGATAGAGTAAATATCTGAAATAAGCTGCTGCAGATGCTTAATTGTGGCATCCTCTATGAGTTCTGTAAAAAAAAGGTAGACAATTTTGAAATTTGACGTTTCATTCGCACTTTACATTAATTCAAAGCGCATTCGAAATACGAAGTACCAATCGATACGACATGAACACCCAAACTAACAAGCGAGATAGGGATGCAAACAAAAATGACTATTAACGAAGACATCGTGGGATGAAAAAAATCGTCAAGTGCACAACTAAAGATATATGAGTGCCCGAATAGATTGAGTAAAATGCAGGAACAGCGTCCCACAATCGTGTCTGGTAGCTGAATAGACCAAAAAAACAACAGCACCTGTCGATTAAAACAATTTGTAATCGACATCTGGGTAAACCCTAACTCTCCCTTCTGGACTCATTTGTTTCCCTCAGTTTTACTGCAATGTAAATGGAAAAATAACCGACCTTCTACAGATGGCAAAATTTCACACGAACTCACTCACTTTCGGCTGGTTAAATCGCGATTTATCTAGACGACGAGTTGACACGAGTGAGTACAATGGAGTGTGTCTAAATTTCTGGCTGGCACCAAATTTGTGTCTAATACTCCAAAACATTTTCCAACACACTTTGCACTCAACGTCGGCGACGTAATTCTAAAATTTCGGGAATAATACTACTCTCAAACGTAAGCTTACTTATTACTTTGGTGTTTTTCGATTTATGTCTTGGCTTAAATGTTCCACATTAGTAGGACTATTAGCCTACTGTGCATCTCATGCAGGTAGCAATTTCAACCAAAAAACGAATAGAAAAAGTTATGTACAGTCATGCCTGGTTGTTCATGCACAATTTACCCCAATCAACAAGGCGTTAAAGACAGTTTTCCAGTCACGCTCCTTGGTCTACCGAAACCAGGCTGCAATTAAAAAACGACAGCATAAAGAGCCCAACATTGTGTGAATTTGGCACAGGAGATTATGGCATTACACAACATCGGCGTTAATGGAGACACCTTATGTCAATTAATATTACGGCTCTGAAATAAAGGGATGTTTGATAAATGGTATCGGGTGGGGGTAATGTCGTCAGACTCCTTTTTCCTGATTTCATTCTGCTTTCACCGGGGTACTGGAATGCTGGAAACCGGTCTAGGCACGTCGGACGGTGGTCCGCGTGATTTTGCCCAACCTAAAGTGAGTGGAACTGGCGTTACACTGAGACAACAGGGCAACCTTGACGATAAGGCGGTTGTTATTGGCAAAGAAAGAAGCCTGGAGGCCTTATAGCTTGTTTACGACGAGAAAAGCTGCATGGTTAGAAATAGAACCAAGAAAAAGATGCGTCACCCCGACTTAAACCGAGGTAGGCTTGCAATAAGGCGCCTTTGATCACTCTATGCGGACGGATTCGAGCGATGGGATTCAGTAGGCATCTCCGAAGCGACACACAACCCATACGGTTTTCGCTTAAACAGTTCTGCCTAGTGAATAAAAAAACTCCGAAGATGCGGGTGAACGGTCTCTGGTCGATAAAATATGAGGCTACCTGATTGGTCGTGGATGTTGCGGAAAAGCGTTGACCTGTATTCAGGAAAACCGGAAGAAACACAAAAAATGACCGGAATCAGAAAAGTGACTCAGTGCGGGAAGACAAAAATAAAAGTCAACTTAATGAGGGGGGAGCGCTGTAATGTTTACTTAGCATGCGGCGTCCACGCATACCTGAATGGAGGTGAATGAAAACAAGGAAAAAAAATTCACATAGAAAAGGTCACTGTGCCTCTACAGCACGGTCTGCACGGAATTAAATCGAACAACTTTGGCCGGGTTAACATTCTGACGCTAGCTCGCGAGATTCGCGGTGCGATTGGGTGCTTTTACATGGTGGTGTACTTTTTGCAAGTTGCGACAACAACATCGACTTAGGATGCTTCACACCTCGGGGTTGGAACTGACTTAAAGACATGCAATTGCCAAATGAATAATATGATAACTAGGGGATGAGAACGCGACAGCAACTGCAGATGTTTAGGTCCTACGATGGTTGCTTCAGCAAGGGTTTATCGGACTATTAAGGCGTCAGGAATAGCTAACTGCAGGCGTGCACTTGGATTCGAAGTGCCGCGACATTCGCCACGACACGGTGCAGCCGTTTAGGAATGGAGAGAAGTGGTTTCATAAAACGCCGGGCACGGCACGTGGACCTCATGGTAGTCAGTACCTAGATGTAAAAGAGACCTGCAAAGCGGTGAAAAGGCAAAAAATTAAACTTACCAGGCTGCCAGGAGAGGTCGTGTAAGAGAGGTTTGAACTAGGACTTATAAATTGGACATGGAAACTCAATTGTAAGGCGATAATAAAAGGGTTAGACACGGACATCAGGTGTCCTCATACTTGCAATTTAGTCGGAAAGAAGGAATTTTGCTATTAACCTTACTGATTGCACTGGTTCACAACTTAAATATAAAAACAAATATGGTTCAGTGCTTATAATGCATACCATCTCGAATTTTATAGCAGTGGACTACAGAAACGTCAAAAAACTGTTCAAGTGCTACTTGAATTTCGGGAAGATCGATGTTATTAGCTAATACGTCTTTTTTTAATTCAGTTCCAAAGCCTTAGTTTACAACGCCACTAAAACAGATAAGGACCCAAAAGCCTAGCTGACCTGAAACACGGACAAAACAAGGCTCAAGACACGAAAACACGAGCCTGTATGACGTAGATTTAGCTTTCACTGCATATTACGCCCTGAGAAAAACGACAAAATCCACCCATGAACGCTGATGCGACGCTGTAGATTGTTTATGCAGAGGGCGATGCGCAACTTGGCTTTCAATAACTGCATTCGTAAATAACCGATTTGCGCTAACACTATGAAACATAATAGGCTTAAAGGCGCCTCTCTACAAATAAAAGTGGCACCAATGTCCGCTAGCTAACAACTGTTGGGCAATTACTGTGACTTAATCAACAAACATTGCCCACAGAGTAGATTTTATCCATGAAATTTATGATTTTACTTTATTGGAGGGCAATTAATCATACTTATGCTAGGATTAAAACGAAATGCGATCAGGAGCGCTGAGACCTGCGTAGTCTCAGTCGAACACGAGGATATGCCTTTTAAAAAGCGCCCTGAATGCTTCCACGGAGGTGTCAAAATCAACTACATAGAACTCGCATGACAACAACAACTGAAAAAGGCACAAGACAAAAAACAGATTCAGTGTCCCGGCATGTCGAAAAAACCATGGGTTGTGTCACAACGGCACGCCAAAAAACCCTGTAGGGAGACGCATCTAATGAACAGGGACTTAGGGTGTGTACCTGCAGGGCTCGTTGAGGCAAAACTATCGAAATGATCTGTGTGGATTGAGAGAGGGAGAGAGAGGGGGGGCACTTGTCATTGTGCTTAGTTTTAGCTCTTCAGACGATTACTGCAGAGAGCACAGCTTCTGAATAGATTCAGAAACACCAGTGGCTGTCAATATCAGTATACAAAGGGCGGAAAAGAACAATGCCACCACAACAAAATTAACCAGTTTTTTTCCTAAGATAGTCGTTCAATTGGATATCAAATAACGCGTGGGTCAAAAAAGAGTACAATAAAATTCCCAACGGCGTGCATTTAAACTAAGCAACTCTGTCACATCAACTTTACTTTCTTGATGTGCAGATAAACCATCACGATTTACATTGATAACTACATGGCTTAAAACCGCCCTACTTGGAAATGCGCAATTGGCCAAGCAATTGAGAAGATTGATTTAGAGTGCACTGTTACTAGTACGTGGGGAAGAGGCGTTTACGTCAAGATCGGATTTGTTATCGGATGCTTTGGTTTTAAACAGAAATCACACCACAAGGCAGGCAAAAGCGGACACAATTTCAAATATCTCTCCAACTGACATTATATAAAAGGCAGCGTTGTATTCACTAGTGCTTTAGTGGAAAGGACTGATTACAAGTGTCCCAAGCGATTTGTATTTACTTGGGTTATGTGCTTCCTCGAGGACTACAAGTAAATATTCCTACTCTGACGAATTCTCGTAGGCCTTAGCCCACTCTTAAAAAGACTGTCGCGGGGACTCACACCTTAAAAGCCTAATTTGTGATAAGCACCGCAGACATGGAGCTAGCTTTCTGGTACCGACGCGGTTACCCAAAATAAATGCCAAGTAGGAGCGAAATAGCATTGCCGAAAGGCGATTAGAAGACACCATGACATTGGTCTGGAGTACAACTAACACACACAAGAGAGAAATTAAAGTTCACTTTAGCTATCTAAATAATGGCAGTTTTAGAAACGCTCGAAAAAGTACTCTGGATTGGGATTTTGACAACCACTTAGTAAATTGCTTTTAGTCATGTAACAGCGTGAATTGGATCTGTACACATACACCGATTAAGGTATTTAAGCAAATCGACATGACCTTGGATAGGGGCGTTGATTTTAACCATGTATTAAAATCACCACAAATAGAGGAGGCAAAGAAGACGAAATACGCGTGAAGGTGTAGTTGGCACGGCGCTGTCCAACAGAACCAAACAATCGACCCCCATGTGTCTAATGGCGTCTGTGGATCAAGGATCGGTATCGTTCAAATATGCTGCAATAGTGACACTCAATTATCCAATTCAGTCTGCATACTGGTTCGAAATGCACCTTGATCATTTTAAGTTAAAACACTTGGCTTTAAAACAAACGCGACTTCAACTCTCAACCCACAAAGGCAGGTGCTACTTTACCTTGTTGCGATTCACAGCATCATTACGGCCTTCAGTACGTTTTCTTAAATGCCAAATATGCAGAGGTTTTGGTGGAAAGTGTAACATGCATCCTGCCAGGTGGATGCGTTAAAGCTTGTCAAAAAAAGGATATCACTTTCTGTTTACAAAAGATTGGCTTACTTTTCTGTGAACACTTAAACCGATTGCACCAACTTTTGTAGGCACGTTTTACCTCATTCAGCGGTAAAAGGTGGATTTTTTCAAGACTTCCAGCGCCTAGAAATAAGCACATCCGAGAGGATAAGGTCCGTAACGTTCACTTTTTAAGGCAGAATCACGTGAACTAAAACTAAATAAACCTCGATACATTGGTTGGTGAGTTATTTTAATACGAAAGATACCGAAGTGCTTCCTACACTGCTGTTCACTAAAGGTACTTCTACGATCCATTAAAACAAACTCATGATTGCTAGCGCATATACGGGGCTGAGGAATTTCCTGTAGTATCACCATAAAGTACTGGAAGTGATCTTACAGATTTGATTTCTTCTCACTCAGTTTAATTCACACAAGAAACCAATGTTAGTGCAAAATGGTCTTCTGTACCGTGGCGATGGATATTTATTTCACGAAACATGTTGCCTTATCCGTAGACATCTTAGGTAAAACTGCGAAATGATCGTTATGTCCACACCATGCTCGAGTTAATTATGCCATTGTTTTTGGTTTTTTAGTTTCCAATACTGCTTGCAGAAGCTAAGCCTAAACAGTCTTCAGTTAACTTCAAACCTAACTGGCAACGCCACCGATGCCACGGTAATTCCAGACCTTTCCAGTATCCAAGCCATCTTCGGGACAGGCACCTACTCCTCCCATCGAATTCCTGAAGTTCGACAGATCCTCATCTACTGCTACGCGATCCTAATCCTCTGCGGGACTACCTTCAATCTTGCTGTGCTTTTTGCTTTGCTCTACTTCAGGGAGCAGATTTTCACCAATATCGCCAACATATTTGTCTTCACATTGGCAGCATCAGACGTTGTGCTCTGTGGGGTCTCCATGCCAATCCAACTGTATTACGGAATCGACGACAACAGTCGAGTTAACACAGGATTGTGTCGAACACTGTTTGCTGGGTTTGGCATCCCCATGTACGTCTCCTGCCTGACAATCCTCCTCATAGCGATCGACAGACATCGCTTGATTGTCAAGCCAACGGCACCGCGTGTTTCAATTCGCACAGCTCTATGGTTAATCTTAACCACAGTGGTGTTCTCCGCCTTGAATGCAGTCCCTGTAGGTCTCTACACTGAAAGCAGAGGAATTGAGGGATTCCGGAGTTTTTGTGTTGAAGCGTGGCCTCTTCCAGTCTTTCGTTTGGTTTACTCGATAGCCATCTTTGTAGTTCACTTTCTTCTTCCTCTGCTGGTTTCAGGAGGCCTCTATTTGGAAATTTACAGGCGTCTGGCGACGCTTCCAGAACAGCTGAGTCTCTCAAAGGAGTCAGAACGTAGGAAAAGGAGGACGACAACCCTGCTGGCATGTGTGGTCGTTTGTTTTGCCATTTGCTGGACACCATGGTGTGTTTTCTCGCTCCTCGTAGAAATCGATGCATACATGACTAAGGGTTCGAACGCACCCCATATGACAATTAACTTTTCTGAGCTAACCCTAGAGGGCTGCATTGCATGGCTCACAGACGGCCGACTGGGGGACAATCAGACCGAGGCATCGCCAAAGACCCATCCACCACCCACAAGCAGCTTCATAAGAGGCACCCACTTTACCCTAGTTGACATGATTCTCAAGCTCTGGGCGATGGGGTCTGCCTGTGTTAACCCCTTCCTCTACGGTTGGCTTAATCGGCCTATTCGAGAGGCGATGATAAATCTTTATGAAATGATCTCGGGTTTCTGTTTTCGATCACTGACGCCCGAAATACGACAGGGCAACCGAGATCTGAACGTCCTTTCCAATAGAATAACAGGCAGACCTAGTAAAGTCAGCTATAGATCCAGCTGTGGTCACTATCCGCTGACAGAGAGAGGCTACAATTACCAAAATAATGGCACTGTGGGCAACCTGTTGCCGAATTCGAAGCAGCAGAGGGGTTTTAAATGGAGAGGTGTGTTCGAAAATGGCTACCGATTTTGCCTTAAAAGGCCATCAACAGCGAAATCAAACAAAAGCAACAGTATTCAGCAAACCAAGCAGAGGAGTAGCCGCCAGAACTTGGACCGGGAGACAATGGTGCCACCGGGTGCAACAGACGTTGTGGTTATTATTGAGGGACCGACTGACTCCCAGGAGGGATTGGACTCGGGCAAACGCCTACGCGTTGTGTAGTGCTTTGTCTTTTCACAACCCTCTCTCTCTCTCTCGCTCTCTTCCCTCTGCTCCACCTTCCTTCCCTCCAAAACTGTATCCCCATCCATTGCCCAAAAGAGCCCTTCTAAGCACAACTTTTGTACTGCGAAAAAGAGTCAGAGATAAATTCCAACGTGAGAGTGGTGCTCATTATCCTGCAAAGGTCCATTGGGAACGAGGCGTGGGAAAACCACAAGCCAATAATGAGGGGATAAGGAGATTCGTACAGCTTCGAGCTCATGCATATTTTACCAACAGACCAAACGGCGTTAGTGATCATAAGAATTATTGATTTACGCTCCAACCCACGCTGTAGAGATGCTTGGCTGAAACTGCACGAAATTACCCAGAGACAAAAAGAGGATTGAGACAAGGTAGCTAATCAACCGTTTATTGGACCAACCTGTGCATGTGCTGTTGGGTCGCTGTGCGTAAAATCCTCGTGTATACTTGTGCTCGTAAACGTGCACGGGAGGTACATAACTGATGGACGGTGTTGCTCAATAGAGTTCGGACGAACTAGTAAGTGCACAAGCGTCCGAATGATGAGATGTGCGGTAAGTGGCAGAGGCGTGCGCGACGAGGATGACTGATCGTGCGTGTTCGCAGAAGCGGCGGGAACGCTGAGAGGGAGGGGGGCCATGTGCTTGAGGTCGCGGCGACAGCATTGATAGGTGCTGTAAATTAATGCGACCCACAAAAGCAACATCGATCGGCAGCCGAAGACTTGTGTGCTTATGCAGAACTGCGCCAAAGGTAATGGCTACACATCTGGGGAGTTTTGCCGGAATTGCACCGTCGCGGATAGCGAACAGGTGTCGTGGGCAGTTGACGGCCTTTGCGCTATCACTTACATCAGATCCACCGAGCTATACAACTCTACGATTGCAATGACCTTCCGTTGACGCATCCAACGAACTTGATATTGGTAGGATTCAATCACCAAAAGGTGAAAGAATATTTATGCATTAGCGCTGTACGAGGATAATTGCTAAATTCTATTACCCAAACTAATTTGATTAATACATCGTCGCACAGCTTGGAGCAATGGGCAGGCCATTTGAATAATTTCTGGATGCTGATTTCATGGCTGGTGCAACCCAAATTGAACAAAGCACACGAGGGGCAACACACAAGCCTCGCAGCGCACATAAAAAAGGTTTACTGACCTTTGTGTCATCGACAAAACGCAAAATTTGACTCAGACACACCCACAAGTGACCGAGGCTATTAGCTGCAATCGACAGATCAGAGAAAAGAGCTAGTTGCACTTCCAACGAAGCTCTCGGGCCTAGTCGTTGGGTAGAGTTTCGAAAAAGGGCAATATCCATCATTTCTAAATACGGTTATACACTAACTTGTACTTGATTTGTGACTTGGTTTTTACAGACTTTTTCTTCGAGCTTACAAGTACATTTAAAAGAGAAATATTTTCACGGTCTTTTGCGGTTTTGAAAGGATCAGACGCAAGTTGTCAGAACACCGAACGACAAGTCTACACAAGTTGCATAACCTCTCACAATAGCCGAGTTTATGACGGCAAGTGGTAGACAGCACATTCGATGGCACTGCATTTTTTACGAATTCCAACTAGGAAAAATGCTACTAAAGCACGAGAATCAATTTTAGTTTTCTTGGTGCTGACGTCGTGGTTTATGAAAAGCGTACTTATTGGTATAACCGTTTTAGAAGTGATGATTTCGATCGTAGTGACCCGCCGCGTCCCGGACAGCAGCCTCGAAAGTTTGAAGATGCCCAATTGCAACCTCTACTGGATGAAGACTTGGCGTAAACGCAACAAGAGCCTACAGCAGCTCAGCTAAGAAAATTTTGACACATGATGAAAAGTTTATTTTTTTATTTCGAGAATCTGAAACGTAAAAGTCGTTAGTAGATCTCGGGTAACAGTACACCAACGCCGAATCAGGACAGCCACTTGAAGAACGTGTAGAAACTGGTCGTCAGGCGGTGCCAGTGGAACGCTTCAGCGGATAATTGAGCAAACTGGGCAAAGAACTTGATCATAAAAGGCCATTTACTGGGCAAGGAAGCAGGTAAGTCATACTGTTCCTGCATGGCAACGCTCGACCTCACATTGCTCGCATTAAGTTCTCCACTTCAATCAATGGATTTGTATGTCGAACGAAAACACAAGTCACCATTCTCTCGCGCAACGAAACCTAATGCTGTTGACTTACAAAATACTGCTACAGCTTGAAAGAGAAATTAACTGTCGAGATTTGGCAATGAAACAATTGCTGACAGAAAATTGAAGGCTGGGATTGTAGTCAATTAATCATTGAATGCGCAGGCATGAAAAAAAAGTAACCATGTAGATTGACAACCGAAGATTCTTTTAAATGTTAACATGCACAGAATTTGTCGATTAAAATGAAAACATTAAATGTGAATACGCTTAGATAGGCCCACCAATTAATGCAAAAAGCGGACGTGGTAGGTAATTCAACTGGCGAATCAGTTACGATTATGCGGCAGTTATTCAAGGCCTAGGTTCCGTGTGATGTGTTGGCAGGGACAACATGATGGACTTCGAAATCCGCTGGGAAATCAATGAGGAGGAGGCACTCAAATCACGTCACAAATAATTTCGGAAAGGGAGGGTTTAGGAAGGCGAAAATGAGACTACCGGGAAACGTGGTTATCTGATTAGTCTCAGGACGCGGATGCGACTCCGAGAGGTATGCAATAAACACGACGCCTTACCACGGAATAAAAATGCGGAACTTTAAATCCTGGAACCCATAACTACAGTCCTTAAAATTTAGAAACTTGTGATTGAGAAATAACGATTCTGGAAATTTTTAGGCCCCACCATACCCAACACACAAAACACTTTTGAGGCGCAATTTGTGGGCGTGAAAATAGGAAACAAAAGCGGAGTGATTTTTAGACGTGGGTGTTCAGGCGAGTTGAATAAGACCAGGAGCGTCAGCAATTTCTTGCATAAATGGCAGTGTGCAGGTTGAAAGCACAGACGACAGCGACCCTCCACAGCCCTATTTTGGCCAAGTAGTAATAAAGAAGTTCTCCTTTCCCTCCCTCCCTCCCTCCCCCCCCCACTTGGCAATGGGCTATGCATTTAGAAGGGTAATTTTAACCTGGATTAATCAAGCTGAATTTACGGTTTATAACTTTGGCGCTTGGTTAACTAATGGCAATGTGAAAATTTAATGCAGCGCACAATTATACTAAATGCCACCAGAAATATTTTAACAACGACAATAAAGCCGCCTACAGAGAAGTGGAACATCAAATTATTAATGTGAGTAATTACTGTCCAGTGGGTGATGACAAGTTAAAAAAACCCAGGCGCACCAGGCTGTCGCCGAAGGAAGACACAGAGACGAAGTGAAGGGGAATGCAGTCAAGGCCAGGCATATATCTTGTCGGCTGGACAATCGCCAGGTTTCGATATGCGCTGGGTAATGTGACACCCATACCGCTGTCAGTACACCTCAGCAATCATCCACTAAGGTCCTAAGGATGCGAGACAGTGGGTGACAATGCAAAATTGTGTGGTACACGGCGGAATAGGTGATTACGGCACTGGGAGACGCGAAAACACATTCCCATTCGGGTTCATTCATGCTAGGGTGAATTTGACCGGTCATGACCTACGGTTTCTGTTGGGGATGTTAACATTCCCCAAGACAAGTTAATCAGCGTAGTTATTTGTGACGTCGATTCGCACAGCTCTGTTCACACCGTCACGCCATACCGTAAATCACACCATCAAGTCATCAATCGGAGACCGCCCGAACATACATACAAGTGGACACATCTGAGCATCCACTCGACTACCGCTTTGGCCCCATCTTGTACTTGAACCTGTGATTCAGACAGTGAAACCCTCTAGTCTGCCTTTATTCTGGGGAGGTTTCAACGTGGCGAACGAGGGGTTCCAACTATTGGGTCGGAGAATTGCATCAACATACAGGGACACATGAAACATTTTATTTGCCCGAATTTAGTAGGCCCTTTTTTAAGACATGGTAAAACTGGTAGGCCTGTGGCTAGAATAGAGATATCCTTTCGCATATTAAAAACAATCAAAAGCCTGAGAATTAGGGGGAGGCAATAATCGGTAGGAATGGTGTGAAGAAGCAAAAAATTGGGATGAGAAACTTCTAAGCCGGGAAAGCTTCGTGAGAAAGGAAGATGGAATAAAGAAAAGTATTGAAACCAAAGAATTATCGTAGAAATCAACCGATAAATTCCAAGGCAATAATAGGTTACATTAACAAAGCACACAGAGCACTTCTCCGTCATAACAGTAAAAATTGCCATGAAAAGGCAGAAAACCGCTAATTCACTTGGTAGACACCACTTATCGTGTGACGTCAGTAGCTGTGTGGTTATAAGGGCTGATTGTATTGAGGCGTGGAGGATGCACGCACGGAAAAATGGAAGGACAAATTAACCATTAATTAAATAATGGTAGCATTATAACAGATACCAGAATGACAACATCTGGGAACCAAACTTCAAGGTGTAAACAATGTGAGCTTTTGGGTCACATGGATCATTATCCGTGCAAGATAACAATTGCCCACACGATACAAACAAGTACATATGCAGGGAGGTCTATGCAAATCGCAGCAAATGTGACAACTTCCCAAACTCCTAAGAAATCTCATTGGCAAGACTGGCCGTGAATTGAACTTCTGATAACCAAAATCAGCAAGTCTTATTACCAAATATGGCATGCTAACTAAATGCATTTCCCTTATTTTCAGCGCAATGATAAAAAAAATTAGGGTAAGGCACAATTTGTTTCTTCCCAGCTTAGTCCTAGAAAAATGGTCGATGAATCACCAGACGCATTAGGCGCATTCGGAGTTTGGGCTGAAATTAGCAAACTCACTTGAATGTGTTCCTGTGGCGGGAATAACCGCCTAGTTGTTCATCCGCACCAGTCCCGGTCAGAAGAACCTAAGGTGCAATGGGATTGCGACAGGTTAGCACTCGCACCGAAATATGACTGCAAAATTAACAACATTGAAATAGAATTGCGCTCAAAAGACAAAATCGACTTCCCCGAAAACAGGAGATGCGGCGATGCTTTGTGGGCTGTTGGTTAACAGCATTTTTTGAGATTATTTCAAGATTAATGAGAGCAAAACAATCGGAGTACATTTGACCAATCAGAGAAGCTTGGTAGATTAGGAGAGTAATGCAATTACGCGGACAACCTCAGCAGTAGGTACGTCAAGCATTCATTTTGAGAGTAAACAGCAACATTTGGTCAAGTAATCGAGATGCTTACATTTACCACTTTTAAAAAGAACAATGGAACAATCGCAGGCATGAATAAAGCAGTGGCGAACAGTGACTTGGGGGACTGCTATTAGTCGTTCCACATGATGGCTTATGTCGTCAATACCAACGACGAAAAAGGGATCTTCAAACAAGCAATCCTGGGTTGGCAAATAACCACTAACAAAACAGCGTACATTAAAACTCAACTTGAAAAGTGCATCGCAACATTAGCAACCACCACCCACGAATCTCAGCAACGCGGTTGGCTGAAAGGCAAAATGACGGAACAATGACACCCCACACGCGTCGGTGCTCACATCCTTCTGTTGCCAAAGCACTTTGTTTGACTCCAAGTAAAGTGAAGTTGGGTGGCCTCATTTGTCTTATCTGTTCATCCCCCACTTGGAAAGCCCTCAAAACACATTTGTCATTGGCGCTAAGGATGATTTTCCTTAAATCCAAGTGACATGCGATGCTAAAATTTTGGCAATTTACCATAAAAAGGCGCTCCGTGAAGTCAACATTTGACTAACAACACATAGTGTAGAAAAAGATTACACTTGTCAGGAAATAGGACCGAACTCGAAAATGTATTTGATGGGTTGGAAGCGAGCAAAATTAACCGGGTGAAGAGCTACGCAGATCTTGGCAGGAAAAAAGTCGAGGATTCATCCTGGCAGGCTGAAGAATGATCTTCCCCCCACCAAGACACATTCGAGCGTCGCAAGTGGACAGCTTAATAAGGGAGCTCTAGGGGATAAAAACGAATTAAAGCAGCGGGATAGGCACGAAAACATGTCAATTAAAGACTGCATTTGCTCACTGCAGACGGACGAAAGGAACTATTGGTCTAACAATTGTGCACACGCATTTTGTACACTTTGGGGTAGACGATAAAATGAAGTTAACTCCCACATTGATGCCTAAAGAGTTTTCACTGGGGCTCTGCTGTTTAGACATTTAATTACACATTAAATATTGTCAAGACACGGGTTAATCTTATTGCCAAATAAACGGTTGTTTCTATGCCCAAGGGGTGAATAAGCGATGACCAAAATAACATCGCGCTTGGCGCCGCCGAGTCTGGATTTAGTCGCCTGATTGTCTGACCTGTTCGAACGCCCCACTAATAAAACGCACATGTCCCATTCATCAGCCCCACTGCAATCCCCCCCCCCCCAAAATTCACAAAGCTCATGTGACCCTTCACAACGCGACTGAGTCCTGAAAGCGATGCATGGAAAACCAAAGTGCAAGCCAAACAGAACGCGACACAAAGCGATAACGAATGCACACTGGATAACGACCCAGTCAACCACGAAATTACAAAGTCATATCCAACGTAGTCATGTTAGAAGCCTTTAGGCCGTCCACTTATGCCGCGACACGGTGAATAATGACCATGGAAAGTGCACGGGCACTTGCAACAGTATACATTCCGACAGGTAGTGATGGGATTTCGGCCACCCTACTTGGAAAGAAGCATTCAAGGGCCTGGATTACGAAGTGCATTAAACAAGAGCAATACACGAGGGCTCTACAAAATACGCCCTGAGGTCAAGCACCTGGGCGAGGAAAGTAATCAACAGACGAAAGGTTAAAGTGTCACCATTGGTTTAGTTACAGGGCAAAGCCAAATGAAGGCGCCAATCTTTGATGTAATTAAGCGACTACCAAACAAACTACTAACCTCCCATGCTCGAACATTGGCCCATCTAAAGTGCAGGGGTATGACTGAAGGGGGATAATCGAATCGCTATAGGGGGTCACTGGTGCCCAAAGAAATTACATTGGCGTGCTAAAAAAGGGTAGCGAGGGGTTAGCACGGAACATCAAAACAATTTGTGCAAAAATAAAGGTGCGGCGATAGGTTGCGTGAGGGCGCCCCCTTTTACTTTAAACACATTACCCACTAAGCCCCGATCGGTAGATTATTTGCCTCGCTTGTGGTAACCAAAGAACACTGCATTGATATTGCTTTTCCGCAGACGGAATCGTTTATGGTCAAGTTAGTCAGCATCGAAACGTGTCCTTTGTACAGAACTCTCCAAACGCCTGGATTTGACGAGCTTGTAAATTTAACATTCAGAGGTTGGAACCCCGATCAGAGCATAGATGGATATAGACGGTGTATACACGCAGGTGAGGAAGCCGCGTGACTTGTGCATGTTGTGAATCGTGTTTGTTAACACCCCTTAATACGGTCGCATCACCTCCGACACAGGGTCCCCCTTTTCGCAGCATGTCGCCAGCCGCGCGGATCCTCAACTCCCCCCTCATTCGCACAAAAATTTAACTTGGATTATCCTCACACCCAGGTCGCGATGTTAGCGCATGTATGGCACACACATCTGAGGTATAAATACACACGCGCAAATGTCGCCCACGACACAACGACACCAAAGTGGTTGAGCTGTGAAGTAAACGGTTGTGTCCACGTCTTCTCAAGTCTTTTCATCGCGGGCATCAGGGAAGCGTAATCGGGCCAGGGTTAATTCAGTGGCCCCGGCGTGGTTCAAGACCACATGCTTAGGCTCACAACATATACTTAGGACAAGTCTGCATGGTTAGCCAATAAAATTGACACGAGCACGATTTTGCTTCAACAAATATTGCACAAATAGCAGGGCCCATTGTCAAAGGAATTGACAACACGCTTGATTTGGCGACCGTAGTGCCACATCACCTGTACAAAATCATAGGTGTCCACCATTGGAGAGTTCATAATTTGTTAAAGCCATCCACATACCGCCACTGTAAGGAAAGCACCTCGTCACTAACTTGAAAATTGCCTATTTCAGCAATTGGAACTATTCAATGGCTTTCATTCAAAATACGTCGAGCACAAAGTGCCAGAAATCATTGGCATTTGACAGCAATGCTGCTACAGTTACCGAATCACACTGCTTAGGACTTTATGGTGCGAGTTACACCACATGAGAACATCATCACTGTTACTGCCGAAATGACAACTTCAGCCACTTTTACTCAGCACAAATTAAGCCTACAACCCCCATGTCGACTATATCATTCTGTTCAGAGGGTTGAAGATTGTGCTTGCTGACAGCAGGCAACGAATCGCAGTGTGGATCGTTGACTGCTGAGAATGAGGGCGCGTGGGTTGGGTGTGAGGTGGTCTTTCCTACACAGCTCGAGTAGAGGAAAGAAACATTAAAAAAAAACAAGATAAAAACCGGCCATCCAAAGACCAAGAACTAACCCAGCTCGGAGACGTGTAGAGCTCGGGTAGGACGTTGAGGTCGCATTCACCGGAGCAGATAAGACGGCCCCTGCCACGAGCAGCAAACCACATCGAGAGGGAGAGGCTGTCGTTCAGGATAGTCTCCGGTGATGGCTTTAGCAGCTGCCGGACCCGCTCCTGCCTAGGAATAGCAGCAAATAAAATAGTTGTCATGTCTGATCCTTAAAACAATTTACGATCTAAAATCAATGATGGTGTAGCCAAGAGAATCCGCCGCGAATGCACGAGACATGGATGCTTTTGCTGACTGATCATGTAGTCTGCAATGTGGTGATGTTGCCATGTTAACGCACTCCATTTCGGCTACCGCATATTCATTGCCGGTACAGCCCTACATCAACCTTGAACAGGTTCTTCAGCACTCACAGCACAATGCGTGGGTAGTTTTACTAAAAGGCTTTATCTCCACAAAAGCGATGTGGGTGGACCCCAGAGGAAAAGCCACGAGCAAGAATTCGATAGTCTTGGAAATGAACCACCGAGGAAGTTCTGGCTTCTAGAAGCTAAAACCATTTTCCTTACACCCAGTGAATGAATTTCGAGGAATGCAAACATCAAACTTGACAGCAGCTAAATGGTACGGGAAATGCAATGTGCACCGTCACAAGTTACGGACTCGTGAAAGCTGGGAATGAAACACCTAGGCTCTTAATATATTCCATCACCATGTGCGCATTGCACTAGTCAACACAAGCGAAATGCACACACAAAAATCATTGCAGCAAAGCCGACACTCGCTGTTCGTTTCTTGGGGAGAGAAGACATTTACCGTGGCAAAAATCAAACCCGAATTTTGCAGCCAGAGCATAATCAGACATGACAGTCACTTTAGGCAAGACGTGACATTTAACGTTGCGATGCGGGATCAAGTGAAGGGCTAGGGGAAGTGGGAGGGGTGAAGGGACTGCACCGCAGTGGTGATAGAAGCTGACGCCAATGCTGTGCAACACTACAGTGCATGCGCGTGCGGCTCGTGATCTGTTGGCAGGGTACACAGTCGTTTAGTTAGACAACACTCAGGCGACCCGTCTCGCTTGCACCAAAATCAGTGGAATTTATATGCGCAGGATGGCCGGTCAACTTGCTACTCATCGTGTTACCAGAGAATGGTTATTGTCCAAAAGAGGCCCCATAAACAACACCGTGAAATGGCAGTGGCAATCGTAGTAGCCGCTGTGGTGCGCTTTCGCTAAAGCAACCACCCTCTGGTACATAATCCGTGAAAGAAAACATGAAATATTGCGGTATTCGAGCAAACTTCTTCCATGCACCTCGCTTACATGCGTCAAAAAGTGCGAAGGTCGTAACAGCAAGAGGAAAGACAGATTTGTGTAAGTTAATTGATGTTTCTGTTTAGAGGGGGGAAGGCACCAAACAATTCAATACTCTGGGTAGGAGGTTCTACTAAAAGTTCGTCCCTTGGTACAACACAGGCGACAGAAAAACAACGTAATGTTTGCACAAGCATTAACATAAACGCTAGCATTAGTGTGTATCTGCTTACTACTTGATTTGACGGATTTTTGGTTGCTACAATAGTGGATTTGGATCTGGATCGCGTGACGAATGACCGTCGAAAAAGCAATATAGACGAGGCAACACACCTTGGAGTTGTCTGACATTTCAGAAGGAACCATATGTGAAAAAAACTATGCACCAGGACAACAAAGAAGCCGTTCGAATTTTCTACGACTAACCTCTGGCGACTTGCTACAACCTACGATGATTCAAAGCAATCTTCACTCATACAATGGCCAAAATTAGCATACTTATACAAACAACCAATCTTCTTGATGGAGTCAGACGAAAAAGCAGTAGACGGGCGTATTTGTAAGGGCCACAAGACAACAACAATAACAACAACAACAACGGCAGCAGCCAATAGCTGCGCATGAAGCGAAAACAACATAGATCGCCAAGGAGATATTGTAAAACGCTTGCATGTTTGGTGGCACCGCCGATACCATCAACGTATTACGCACACTGCGCCTCGGTGAAGTGTGTGAGTTTATTGAACACAAGTTCTGACGGATGCGATGTCACCACACAACAATATTTCCTAGGCCGTAAAAAATAAACAAAAATAGTGAAATGTACCAGAGTATATAATCGCCAAACAAGACTCGTGATGGTGCGAATTAGTGCGGCTGCACAGAGACTAAAACAGACAGGGGGTGGGAAGGACACAGGCATAAAAGCAGACCCACTCTTCCCCCGGAAGCAGGTGCAGTCTGTCGCAGATCTTGTGTCGCACGACGGTGCGACACAAGATCTGTAATTAAAAGCAATGCCTAGTCTCAACCCTGTACCAGTATCAAAATTTTCTTTTAAATATACTCAAATGGAAACTATGTTGCGATTCTCTGAGTGATGGGCGTTGCCAGCACGACATTTGACTGGACAGCAGCTGTGAGCAGATATGAGTGCTAGAGAGGCCAGGTAGTTCAAGTCCACGTTGTGGAGATCAGCGAGCGAACGTCGTTAGCAAGCAAGAGCCGGCATGGATCCAATCGACGATTATGAGTGCACCTCAAGTCGCGATGCTCGTTTAGTGATGGATGTCAGGCGTTCCTATTAGTAAACTGACACCTTACCATGCCAACGACAAATGTAGCGACCGTGGCCTTATTGTAGCAACATATCGTCTGGGCTCCGCATAACCTACGGCCTTCCACTTTCCTGGTCAATTCGTGTCTACTCCGAGGCTTCGACAACGCTCGGCTGGCTATTTAGAGCCCAAAACTAGTGAGGTGGTTGCAGGTCCACCGCTCAGAAAGATCGCCAAACATTTAGGATATCTACAACATGGTACTCGGTTAGTCGGGAAACGGTTTTACGAGCAGATGAGTCTTTAGGAAATGTCTCAAAAACGGGAATAATCTGAAAGAATTTGCGCAAAGTATCAAAAATTATTGCTCCCAAAAAGATGTAGTACGGGTAAACGTTTAATTTAAACCTTTGTTTCTGAATGACACAAACTAACATTTAAATACCCAATTTCATGGAAATGTAAAAATTACAAGATTACCATCGATAAGTATAAGACATTTTTTATCAAATTTACCCAATATTATAGATAATTCGTTTCAGTAAATTAATAACTAGAATATAAGAAATAGTGAAAACACCAGAAGACAACAAGGCACTCAGAGACACAGAGGAAACGTAAGTGCAAAGAGTAGTTTAGTAAAAATGCTACAGATTATTTGATTTACGAGGCAAAAATTGTGTCTACATTAGTAATTGCGAAAAGTAAGGTGAAGATTAGTTTAAAATGTACCGAAATATTCAAAAACATTCGAGCGACGCCAGACAGGCAAGTAAATACGCGTTTGAGAGCCAGACGGGTCTCAATAGACAAGCGTGTGAGCAATTTCACGTAACACTTGAAATGGCTCGCAAATGCATTGCTTACGCAAAAGTACACTTCATAATACAGAGTTTAATAGCGTTTCCCACTTAGTCAGGGCCACGTGACGAGGTGCGCAAAAGGGATATTTATATTTCCAATGGGTTCGAATTCGTCGGCACCGCCAACGACGCCTCACTTAATGCGCACGTTCACAACTTTACGGGCAAGCGCCTCATTTCGATGCACGCAACCACGTTGACGTCGGCTTTCCTCGCCAGTCGCATGGATGATTCTCCCTTTACGTGATGGCCACTAAAACCATCGTGTACTTGAAATGCTTCGGCGGTTGCTCGCACACCATCGCAGTAAAACCCTTCCGATGCCTGTGTCTGCAAAGCGCCTCCTGCACAAGGCTGGTTCCGACGTTGCTTTGCCCCATTCTTCCATGCTGAAAATCGCCCAGCTACCACTAAGTGCCACTTACCTGCATTGTTTTCTTGAAAGGCGTATCCTTTTAGTTGAGAAGGCTCACTCAAAACCCGCGTCTCTGTCAGTTGTGTTGGGGTGTTATTTTTAGTGATGTGAACTGATTATTTTAAAGGATTTGATGGCAGCGGAGTGAACAGGTAGCCGTCATTCCGTCACTAAATTATTGGTTCCTTTTGTCCGTTAGCACGCAGTACTAAGTCGGTTGTGCTTGAAAGAAACGGCAGAGTAGAGATTTTTGGAAATGCGGAGTTATTACAGTATCCCGCCTTCAGAAAACGTGGTTGAGGTAGCAAATGAATCCAACCAAATTCCTTGATCTACAAGTATTTTATTGGTGCATTATAGTGTGATTGTGATTAAACAGTAAAGTGACCATTCAAGGCAATAATTTGAACCTATGAACACACAGGCGGACAAACGCTGACGAACACCAGAAGTTTGGGAGCGTGTGAGGTCAAGGAAGGGCCAAAACATTCAGACATTGGATATTGACTGACTCTGCACTTATATTGCGTTATTAAATGTCAACTTTTGAATGTCCCGTTTGTTGCTGTACCTGCATTCCATAGTTATGCACTGAAGGCACTCTCAGAAGGGACGCTGGTGAGTGATTGTTGTGACACCGCACTTCCGAGTCTAGATGGACTAACGACAGGCCTAGGGCGGATTAATGAAAACACCACGAGGCAAACCCTGGCTACGGCAGTTGACCCAATGGGAGGCGCAGTTAACTCGTAGTGCGCTCGGTTGTGGGCACACATACATATTTCGCGCACTTTTCAAACACCCAATCCGCTTGAGCAGAGGTTTTTTGTCCTAACTGACTCAGTTGTTGTGAGTGGATAGTTGTAAATACTACACGTTACCAAACACATTCCGAAGCTTTTGCTTGACCCAGCTTACTTACGATTGACAACACGCCTACCTACCTAAACACGAGACGGTTTTTCAAAAAAAATTCAATTACAATGATTCCTGATCCGAGATGAGCTCTTCTTTGTTATAGTATCAGTTAAGATTCGTGCAAATTATTGTGGAGTCATACTTCGGCAAAAAACGAAGTGGCTTGAAGCAACTGTTGTAAGTTGTTATTTTGCGCAGAAAGAGAGATAATAACACTGCGCCACGGCTGTTTTCATAATCACATGTCGCTGAGCACTAAAAAAATTGTGAAACCATGAGTAGATAAGGGTAATAACGGGGAAATCAAAGTCCGGAATCTCCTGACAATCGGCAATAATAGTCCATTGTGAGTTAAAAAATGCCCTGACGGTAAAAAAAAATCAGCTAACTTGAAGGAAGGTGTATTTCAGTCGTAATAAAGACGGACCAGGAAGCCCAGATTACTGCCACCGCCGAGAATACACACTAAATTTGCACTTGAAATGGTTCTGGGGAGCAGACAGGTGACAGTGGGGGCGATGCGGCAAATCACGCACAAATCAGCCCTACCTCTCTGCCTCTTAAATAATGTACCACTGACGTATGGCTCTAAAACATTGTGAGAAATTACCACAAAAAACAACCACAGTGGAAAGTGTACTAAAGCATTCAAAATCGCTAAGCAAGGCCTTGTCATGCATGTGAAGGAAGGTGAAGACCACGTGACCAAACATTAACGAGTAATATAGACATGGACTCCTTACCACGAAGCTCATTCGTCAACCATGAACAGGTGCAGGTTCGAAACGCCAGTTGGAAAATAGGTGACGTATAGGCAGCAGTGACTAAATGAACCACGGCTAAAACATTTCAATGAGAAATTACAAACGCATAGCAGAAAATGGATAAAATCCCGAGGATCATGGAACAGTCGCAGTTTTCCATGGATTGATGGGAATCTCTGGAAGCCGGGTTTGTGTTGGGGGGTGTTTTCCAACGCTGTGATTGGGGATGCTTGCTAACAGGATTTTCTTCGAGAAAATATGTGGAGTAAAATTAACACAGCGGAGGGAAACAGGTTCGAGTACAAAAAGTAGCTTAAAAGAATCGGTTAGCATGACCCAGCACAAAAACATCAAAGAACATCGAAAAAAAACTCGGTAGTGTGTGTTGGGTAGAAACAAGGAGTAGAAATGGGTTTCGTAACACCGTGCCACAATGAAACTGACCCGGCGGCAGCATAGACGAATGCGGCACAATGTGACTGGAGTGTGGTTGCTATTGCCGCCAGTCAGGCATACAGCAGCGATGGCAACCGACTGCGTAAAAGGTGGCACTTTATCCCAACCGGTGATACGACGAAGGAAGGACTTACACGACCGCTTCAACACACATCGACAAGTTAAGTGGAGGAACTGCTAGGTTTTGAAATTCCATGATACTTGTGTGAGTCTGGTGACCAATTACTGCTGGGTAGCGCGTCTTAGGTGCGCACAAAGGGTTAGGTGGGTGACGGCCCATCACAACAAGTGGGCAAGAATCAACGGGACGAGAAGGAAACTCTCAAGTCGATTCATGCTTAACAGTCGTGCACAAGCGAGGCACGTCTAGCCTGTAATTATCTGCACAGCACGAGGTAAATTTTCAACTCAATGTGACCCCAACGAGTCTTCGCAAACGGGCATTCACGTAATGGTGCTAGCGAGAGTTTAAAATGACTGCTTGGTGGCAAGAGGGCAAGCCAGTCAGGTAGTGTATTGAAAAGGTTAGCAGAACTATGGTTAATCGAGTTCAACTTCAAAAGGTAAAACTAAAGTCACATGGGCGCATAACTTTTAGTAAATCCGGCCTGGAACAAGCACGGGCACAAAAATACATTACTTGGATCACACTAAAAATAAACAAGACAACTGACAAGAGAAAGGGGAAAAAGTACACGTGCCCACCCAAAACAACATCACATTCAAAAAAAAGGGAGATGAAAACTAAGAAAGCACCTTTGGCACTCATGCAGACCTTCCAGAAAGTTGCGCAATTTTAAGCAAAGAACGGCTTGAATTTACGGACAAAAAGTTGAGTTTACAAGTCTCAGATGCTGAAAAAACAAGTCTACAAAGGCTACATAACAACCAGAATGGTTGTTTGGAGGACTCAGTTACAAAAAACAAGTTTATCCTCATACTATAGAAGGGGCAAGAATGTACGGTCCTGACTAAATTAAACAGTAATTTCGAAGGATAGACGAATAATTTGGTGACATGATAACAGCTACCTGTTCACTCCACTGCGAACCAAGTCCTTAAAAGTAATCAGTTCGCATCACTAAAAATAACACCCCAACACAACTGACAGAGACGCGGGTTTTGAGTGAGCCTTCTCAACTAAAAGGACACGCCTTTCAAGAAAACAATGTAGGTAAGTGGCAATTAGTGGCAGCTGGGCGATTTTCAGCATGGAAGAATGGGGCAAAGCAACGTCGGAACCAGCCCTGTGCAGGAGGCGCTTTGCAGGCACAGGCATCGGAAGGGTTTTCCTGTGATGGTGTGCGAGCAACCGCCGAAACATTTGATGTGCTCAGTGGCTTGAGTGGGAGAAGCAATTTCCGTACTATGGAGTGCAGGTTTACGATAGCTCACAGATGTTTCCGCTACGATAAGTTTATTCGATGACAAGACCTCTCGAAAACCATTGCCTCTCATAAAGCATCGTAGCAGTGACGGAAACGAATCTTACTGAAGTCTTACTATGGCAGATTTTTAGATTATTAATGTTCTACTGTGTCTACCATTAGCACTTCCCGTGAAATACGATCCAACCCGAAAAAATATGTGGATCTCTGGTTCATCAAAAAGCCCACCATTACATTAACTCCTGTTTTTTTTAATATTTACCAACAGATATTCGATTTGCTGCATATTTTCTGATGCTATTTCAACTGATTTCATCGCCGTTCTTCATTACCACGGGGAACAATACAACGCAGATGACCATTTAACACCTCTAGAACTAACATACTTATAGACGATAACAATTACTCCCTTCAATTACCAGGGACCAATAACCTACGCCTTGCCGAATAGAAGTAATATGCTTCATTAAGCACTGAGGCGTCTCAAAGAGCGTCGCACAACGCTATGGGTAACGTATTTAAAGCAGACACAGGAGAAAGCAAGAATACCATGACGTAAAATTAGACTGCGGCGCATTCGTGTCCCAGAAATCATGCGCCTAAGTCCAACAGGGTCTATTTGGAATAAAAACGAAGGAAATGAAAGGCGAATCCTCTTGTTGTTTTTAAGTTTTTTTTCGATTTTACAATAATTCACACACACGCAAACGCCCTGGTGAAATAGTATTACGAAGAACATGAAGAACAGCTGATTAATTAAAATCATAAAATTTTACTTCAGAACAAAGACAACACTGGTATTTCACCAGTGTTAAACATCTGAGCATATCACAAAGGCCTCCAATCATTAGCAAGAACCAGAGAGGTTTGTTATTTAACATAATCTACGCAACAATCTTGTAAAATCCTAATATGTATATTGAATTCCATTTCGTGCGTAGTAACTCAGGCTGCTAAATTATCAACAATGATAGTTTGTAGTGAGAAGTAGTAAAGAACTTGTGACCTAGGTCGGAGCGGAGATGGGATCTAACTTGTCCGAACACTTGACAACACACTGTCAAGTTGAGAAATACGGGCACAACCAAGTGAGCTGACAAGCGAGAGATTAGGCCCGAGAAAATGATGCTACTTGGATCAGGCAAAAAGACGGAAGCATTTAGAACGAATGGTTTAAGAAAGCGTGTGCAAACAATATGCGTGGATTGAGGCGGGGGGGGGAGGGGTGGCGTTAAGCCGAAAAGGTTGCACGTAGCCGGAAATAGCAAAATACCGACTCCGAGCAGTCACAAAGCCTGGCATTTTGTCACTTTCACTTAATACCATGCTGTGTTAGCTTATTTTATTCACCGAAATGGATTTTCCAAATGCAAGAACTATATGCAAATGCAAAGGTAATTGTTCTTGAGGCGATGCAGGTTTCAATATACCAGCTGAAATGTTTACTGGCACACAGTTAAATATTTATTGAATGCGCATTGGAATCCGGCTGTTTGCCTGAGTTTTGAATTATAATCAACGGCGTCGTGCGTGTGAAGTGCTCACTTTGGACCGGGAGTTTGATCTTTCCATGTCCTACTCTTACACGAAAGGCACATATGTCCAGACCGAAGAGAGGTAATTGAGTTACAGCGCATGAAAACGCTGCATCAAACAAGTGCAGTAACGGGTGCTGCAAGGTGAGTCGCGATTTGTTTCCAGTTCGGCGAAGCTAGCTAGCTAGCTAACGTCAAGCCTTTGGAAAAATCGCTTTTAACGCACACACACACACACTCTCTCTCTCGCTCGACATAGATGTCATTATAAACAAAAATTAGATGAAGGGGCTTGGGACAGGCAGCGCAATACGGAAATGCTGGGCAGTGATAGACAAGTCATCCTAAGTTATTTAAAGGAGCCTACCTAATTCTTCTGAGCTCATCCACTGATACATCTACCTAAAATGAAGAAAAACGGCGATTACTGAGATGGAGGGAATCGCAGGATCTGGGTCACTTAGCACGCTAGTGAGAGCAGCAAGTGTGGAAGAGGAGTTGTCGCTTTAACAATGCGACTTCTCTTAGTGGCGTATTCACCTCAACTACATGCCAACGAACAAATCGATCTGGAGTTGGCACAAAGCTTAATAACTCCCCCCAACACAGATAATATAGGTATATTTGCGTTGTTACTATCCTGCTTAAAATTGACGGGAAAAACGCGAAAGAAAATGCGTTCCGGTTGGAGAAGTCAAGCGAAGAGGCCTCGAGTAAAGGATGACAATAATGTATCCATAACACTAGTTTTTTTCTATATCAGAAACGCTTTTAATAAAACAATAGCAACCGATTTAATCGGTGGCACTGCGACAGTTAGTGCGCGTATCTTTCCACCAAAGTGTGATTTTATCGGCAAACCTTGTAGGAAAACTTGGATAAAGTAACACCGAAAAATCCTGCTAATTTACCATTCAAGTGTGGGGTGAGCTTGCGGTAAGCGTGAGAAGCAGAAATGTGAGAGGCGAAACGACTAAGACTGACCACAAGAAACATTCAAGCATACGACGAATCTTCACAACACCCGAGAAACAGGAATACAAAGCCAGGACTTTAAACAAGAGCATGCATTGGTAATGTACCGAAAAACCAGCAGACAATAATCAGGGTGCAGTAAAAGTGGAAAAAAAACAAAGCATTAAGGAGTAAAAAAGGAAATATTTCGGTCAATACAGTGTAGAAATTAATTTGACACAACTAGAAGAAGCCAAACTACGTCTGGTGTTTTCAAAAAAGACAAAAGATTAATGGAAATTGGTAACGGGCGAGAACACGAAACGGCCAGTTAGTTCCACCGAAATATGGGCATCCATGTAGCAAGCTTGAGCACACCGCTTGGAATGTTAGTGGAGGAAGCCTCAACAACTTAAAACTAGCAACTGAACATGAATGCTACAACAAACGAGTGTATAGTGGTTCCCACGTGCTCTACCGAAGATCCCGCAAAACTTGTTCCTTGTATTCGCTAAAACACGTGGTCTATTAAACTTTGTCACTGATTTGCAGACGACTTTAACACGCGAATTTAATGGGACAGGAGCTGCCAGTGCATGTTTAAGACGTCGTCACAAATCAGGAAAAATAAACAATGGCATTTTTAAAGAAAACTTGCCATCAACCTACTCGTCAACCGAAATTTGCCGCGGTGACAGGTACAAGAAATTCAATAACATTCACAGTAAGAATAATCCACTCAAAGTGGCTTTTTTGCTGATAGCGTACGAAATAGAATTCAAAAGATTATAAGTTGGATAATAAGTTGGTTGAAGTTGGCATTCAGTCGGATATGGGAGCGTTGGTGAACGCACCGCAAACCTGTCGTAGACGTGGGAAAAACGGGATGCCTCGTACGCAGTCCGATCCAACAAGTCAATAAGCGATTGTGTCCACTAACCCTTTATTCACGACATTTCAGATACTGCAAAACCTCACCTAATCAACACAGTGGTGGTAATACCATCGAGGTTACTTGACAGTATCCATAATTGTTATTGAATTAAAACCAACATCGATTTGACAAATCTGCTTTAGTGGGATGCGAACCCGGGTAAAACTTAATGAGCGCTCTTAGAGTAGACAGTTTCGACGCTATTTGACAAGGACGATAACTGATCCGAGTCCCTTTTTTGTATGTGCTTCAATCATAGGCGTTGTGGAGAGTCCACCCACCCGGCAAATCCACGTCTCATCCTTAAGTTATGCAATCGATAAAACAGCAACAACAGAATACATACAAACGTGTTAGCCTTGACAGACCAGGGTACATTTGTACCCGTGCATTTAGGTGACTCGTCACACGAGCAATTCAGTGCGATTTGTCAGTCTGACCATCTCGGTGTACATTGTAGACTCCTTCGGAAGGACAAGGAGCTGATTTAAGCCCATGCTCTCTAACCTTGATCATTCATGGCCTTAAAGAGTACATCCGATTATGCATTCCGTTGACCCTTCGTGACCTCACACAATCTCCCTCCCATTAACTTCATCAACTCATTATCCTCGATAGCTTACAATTTACTGCGAACCCTTCAAACGTAAGCAGTCTTATTCCCCAATTTACGCACCATTTTAATTTACATAATACCAGGGGAAATGAGAAGATTATTTAAAGGAAGTGGATTAGGTGAATGGAGCTAGATTAAGCATACACGTTACAAAATCTCTGAATTAAAACGACCCGACAAATCAGCTATCCGTAGATCTAAGAAAAAAAACAGGAGTATCTCAAAACACTGCCAAACTCGAGCGGTCACAACTACATGCAACTTGAAGTTGAACAGACAGTAACCTACGTGGCGAGCACATGAAATCGTCGTTTCGAACTGAGGCAGGTGTGGTCGCCCATAAGTACCCCTCTTGTCCGTCTTGAGGTGTTAAGATCGATGAAAAACTATGCAAATTCCACACGGCTACGTAGTGTAGACCATCTAGCGAAGCAGAGAACATCGTACCCTTAACCAACCGAAGTACCCGCACCAAAAATAGTGGAGGAAGCCTTGCGTTGCCTTGAGCCCGAAACCACTTGGATTAAACAGATTCCGTGCTGTTTAAACAATTACCTATCTTATGTATAAACAGTCTCATAAATCGCCATGGTTTCGTAGAGAAGACGGGCGTGGGGTGAGAGCTCGTGCATTAACACAAATTTGATAAAAGCGCACGAACAGTTGTAGCACTAGAAGAAATATGCCCCCCACCCCCAACCCACGAATAGCAACAGCACTAACGAAAACAAATGTGACAGAAGCACAGGTCTTCCATGTGAGAAGAAAATCACCTTTTTGCTAGCATGGGCAGCCTTTGATAGGGAAAAACAACGCACAGCATTGAGCAACTCACGGTTGAGTGTGAGGCGCGATGCCCTGTCAAGCTGGACGGGTTGTAAACACGCCCGGTGTGCGCGGTGCGAAAACAGCGCCCAACGGAAAACCATCCCTCAACTCACACGTGAGCCAACCGACATGGAACGCCACTAGGGTTGTTAATGATGTGTTGGTTGATGCATCACATGTTAATTCACCTGCCCAAATTCGAACATCCCATCTGAATGAGACGCTGGATGGTTATATGCTGTTAAAACGAAAACCGTGATCTTTAATTTGTTGGTTGAAGCACTTTTTGATAGTCGTTAAAATATACGCTTGTGAGATCTACAATCGGGTCAATAACCGTCGAGGCCAACGGTCGTGGTCATACAACGGGTAAGGAAATGCAAAAAGCGGAGTTAAAATTAAAGCGACTGTCGTTTTGAGTGAAAATGGCATGATCCTTGGGGATAACACAGACTTCAATGACATCCAATGCAAACCTTCCCGCGTGGGAGGAACACAGAGAGCTCAAAAACTCATACGTAATTGAGCAGCCAGGTCTTCGTGGACTCTCATCGCCACAAAATCCTTGCCACCTAGTGAAATAAGGCTCCAGGTCCACCAAAGTGCCATTACAGTCTGTGAGTAAATCGATATCAAGGTGAAATTTGAGTATGAAAAGCAAGGTCACTCAGAATGTGAACTGATACGGTTCTTCAGGACGGAACACGTGACCTTCGATAATTACACCTGTATTGAAGGTGTTCAAATAATAAAGATCAAGTATGCTGCAACGTTGGTTCCTTTGGTTATAAAAGGACACAACTGCAAAACATGCGAAGTCTTCTTAGGAAAATATGCAGCGAGTAATCTTGAATCAAGCAAGTTACCAACAAAAGTAGCTTTTGAGATAATTTGGACTAGCCGAGAAAAACCACTGAACGTGGGTGTCACTCGAAACCGATCGGATTTTATCGTGCTACCTTTGCAGTGAAGTTTTACCAAACGAGCTTGAGTGAAGTGTATTTTACGGGTTGATCGAATGTCACCGATTGTCGATTATGCGTGACGGGTAAATGCTCATTCACGGGCTCTGCCAAAAAAGACTTGGGTGCTCAAATGTAACTAAATCGTTATATTCGCTATCACCTGTCTTGTCTTTCTTCTTGGGTTATCACGGAGTCTCAACTAACAGGATTGCAAAGTAGTGCTAACGAAGCCGCTACACCTTCTCATATATGTGCACTGCAAGAGTCACGCACAACCCCCATTTAATGAGTTTTGTACGATTCGGGAGGAAAATTAATGATTTTTTTGAGAGATCCAATCATTTTTATCGATACACAGCGTGTTGTGATATCATCATCTACTAAAATGCATCACGCAGGTAACTCCAAGCTCTGTCACTGAAAACGGCGACGCCAAACTGGGGTGCGAACAAAGAGAACAGGCCACCAAATTAGGGAATGACCATAAACAGATGCGGCATGGAGGCCCATTGAGGGGAATCGACTTCTGATGAGGAAAAATGGGAAAGCCGTTAAACGTACCAAGACAAGATGCCAATGCCGCGACGGACTCAGCCGTCGAAGTTCATCGAAGCTGCTCAAGGCAGTTTGCCGGTCGGGAGCTGTTTCGGGTGAAGCATACACTGTAGCACCTCCATCGCCGCTCTCTCTGAAAACGGAAGAGTAGGCGTCAGCCAAATGCACCACGATTTTTGCCGTTATTTATGGTAAGCGATTAGACAGAATGGATTTGCTCGAAATGTTCTGGTTCACTAAGCTCCAATTATGACCACAACAGGTGCCTTGCGTGTTTTTATCTGCTTTTATGGGACGAAAACCGCGCTAGTCAGTGAGCTTTAGATTACCTTATTTATTGACAAAGTTGGTTACTAAAGTTATCACAAGAAACCAGACACTAATCTTCAGTTTCGGGCAGAACTGATAGTCTAGCGCTTAACAAAAAACAGTGTTTTCCAGCAGGGGGTGAAAGTTGTTATTCACGAACTTTGTTATATGAAAGAATTTGCAGCAAGTTTGGCATTTACGGGGTGATTACAGTTGTACACACGGCATTGAGACGCGATTTGTTGCAATACACGCACAAAATTATCAGATACTACGTACCCACGCCGTTTAGATGGTTGAGCTTTTGGTTGCAGATGCTGGAATGCGACGTTTATCAGGTCGATTGGCTGGTCGCGTGGAACATACCTTGAAAATAAAATGTAAGACTAATCAACAGTTAAAGTAATCAGAACCAGAGAACTGCGCACTCAAGGCTGTACGTGACAACACAAATCAGGAAAACGAAAACCGAAGCCCCCAACACTGTGTGGTTCCACAGGATTGAACATCGAAGCGTTCAAGGATGCTATCAAGGGAGCAGGGTCCAACACATTGCTGTCAGATGTCTGCGTCGAGCAGCTAGACCCCAACTCGCTGGTAACATGATTAAGACTGATTAATGATGCTGCAGACGGGTTTTATTCCAAGACGGTGTGGATTTCAAATCAACAAAAAAAAACGTCCAAGGCCTGAAACTAAATTGGACTGCGAGCTCGGTGCTAAGAGGAATTTCGAAGAACATGCCAACAGCGGGACAGCAATTCCAGCGAGACTTGGAATGAAACACGAAGGACTCAATTCAGCTAAAGGGCAATGGTGGGCATAGCTAAAATCGCGGCTGAAGTGAGTTCATCGTGGTGCAGTGGGCCTCGTAACTACACATAACGTATCTAAATAGGCTCTTCGGGGTCTACATCAAAGGTTCGTTCGACGTCAATAATTCAGCCCAAAAAAAGTATAGAACATCGGAAAAAGGGGAAAACTAATGTTTTCAGAAAGAATAAAAGTACACTTTTGTGGAATCTGCACTCTTAGTGGAATTGGGTGGTGTCAAACAAGACAAAACAAAGTGAAGCCCTCTTGAAAACGAGCATTCGACTTTGTTACAAGCAAGACGCTTGTATTTTTGACGTAAACACACACACACACCATAATTTAAGGCATGTAATTGCTTCCGAAATTATCCTGTCAGATAGTGAGCAAGTGCCGGTTATTCCGCATTTTTTTAATAGAAATTGTTCAATTCTACAGGAAGACGAAGTGATGCGTGCCAAACAACTGTGACGTGTATGGAGGAGAAGGAGTTTACGCAAACATATTTTGAACCACGGAAGACTGATCAGGTGATACAAGATGAAACGGTGATAAACACTTGCGTGGCTGATGATGGCCAAATCAAATCAAGCAAAATAACCCACGACATAGAAATCAGATCGTAGATAAAGTCTGCGCATTTGAAAGCAGATGCGAATCACTTCGACACGCTTTCTTGCGTGTTCCGATGCGACTTGTAAATGTAAACCTCACACATTGAGGGATAGATTTACGATACCGCGTTTTTTTTGCTCAAACGTAATAAAACCATCCATTAAAAAGGCAATTGGCAACAAGCAAGAAATGGCGTGGAGCGAAAATTAACCCAATGAACCACGCCGGGGTAAAAGAAAAGCGTACGAAGGGAAACCCAGATGTTTAATTAGATTGAGTAAAAGTCAAGGACATCGAACTGTGTTGACAACAGTAACAACGGACTTCATTGGGCGCTGGCGCCTACTGCTGGGATTGTGGAATTCACGATGAAAACGGAAATTGGCAAAGACGGCTGACATGTCTTGTCTCGCATTCCTTTTCAACCAAACACAGCCCCATCAAACTTTGACGTATTTGGTGCCTTTTCTAACAACCATTAGTGAAAAAAAAAACAACAACATTTGCGTTTTCCACAATAGACACAATGATCAGTTTTATGACAGGAAATCGCGAATGTTTGGATGGGCGAAATCTCTACGCTATCCATTGTGCGTCGGAATGTGGTGCAAAAACGCGAGCCTTTTTTCAAAGAAGATAAACTTTGTATGAAAGGCCTTGCATTGAATTTTCACAAGAAAATACGGAACTACAAATCACACAGCCAACGAAACAAGAGAATTGGCGCCTGCCCACGGCATCAAATTAAACTAGGCTTAGTACTGACAATATATTAATTGGTAAATAAGGGTTTCTTCCGACATATTTTTCATAAGAGTTGAAAAATTACTCGTAGATGTTCCCTATTGGGATACCAGCTCGTTAGGCAGTGTAGAAACTATTGTACTGCCTCTAGCATCAAGCGTTGGATCGGAGTGCCGTAGGCTGTTCGTTAATTTCAAGGAAATGCAGAGGGAGATTAGTGCCATCGAATGTGCTGTTTACCAGTTGCCGTCACAAGCTCGGCTATTCTGAGAGGTTATGCAACTTGCGTAGACTTTTCGCTCGGTGTTCTGACAACTTGCGTCTGGTCCTTTCAAAACCACAAACGACAACACAAATCTGTCCATTTGAATCACAATTTTAAGCTCGAGGAAGAAATCCGCACAAAGTAAGCCATGCATCAATTATAATAATATGACTGGCATGGGTGACTTTACACCTCCTGAACACAACACTGGTTATTATTAAATCAGACACGTGGTCAAATGAAGGAGAAGGAGGTGTAGGTGTGAAGGAGTCACATGATTGAGAGGTGGTTTCAAGGCCAGATAAATCGCACAAAAAGGGTTTCTAACTGTAGGCTTAAATGTCGCCCAAACGAAAACCAGCGTAAGCATCATCGCAGAAACAAGCCGAAATCAAATTGGAGGAGGAGGAGGGTAGAGAGGAAGCATCAGCATGAGCGAGAAGTCTTTGTGTGCAGACGAAGCATGCCAAGATATGCGAGTGGGGTTTAGATGAGAAAAGGTTAGACACTAAAATCATTGCTATCAAAAAAAAAGATAACTGAAAATGGTGGAATGCTTGCACATGAAGGGAAGATTTTCTGGTAACTAATACGCCTATTAATTCGTTATAGGAGTGGAATCTGGGTAAACGGTTAATGCTTACGAACATTAATTACCTTGAATAAACAAATATTCCACAAGACATGAATTCACTTGAAATAGGAAAGACCCGAGTGCCAATACGCTTCTACGATAACATTACGCAATAACATTAGTTTAAACAATGTCTTGTAGGTTGGCCAGACGTTGAAATGACTAACGTCAGGCGACTGCAATGTTGCCGGTTATCACGAGGAACGACAAGACATGAATTGTGGCCATACTTTGGTGATAAAGTCATTGTAACGTGAATAAGGCTGGAATTCTCTATTAAAGAGTTTCGTGACAAACTGCACAAATAATCGAGTGATGAAAGATATCATCCACACGAATGGATACCACTGTGAGATTGAACAAAATCTACTTGAGGAATAAGTGCTAGCAGTGCGTATCATTGCAGCGTGCACTACTCAGCAGTCGATTTTTCCTAGAGTCGGAAAAGAGTAGACCGTGTAATTGCAATGAACAGGGAATACCTGGTACCCATGACATATTACGACAGAAAAAACAGCACAGGCCGCATCTAATCTAATTAGTACACAAATAATGGAACACAAGAAATAGCAGCCAGACGGTGATTGAGAATAACGATTCGGAAAAGCACGCAGAGTTGTGAGAAACCAATGAAACGAGAACATATTGAACCGTATTTCAAGTTTGACAAAAGTGCTGATGGCCAGTTAATGTAATTCAGGAGTTTGCAAGCGAACAAGCTAGGACTTCAGCGAAGCTCCGCGTGTGGCAGATATTGCCTTGTGGTGATTACAGCGTTAAAACTAAGAACGTTGAAATTCCTAGCGAGCAGTCCCCAATATGAGTGCCTAACTGGATCGAATTGTCTTTGATTTATAATATTTGGAAAAAAAAGGAGACACTAAGACAGTGGTATCCACTTGGAAATAATCACAACGCTAGTTAAAAAATGTATGATTTATTCACCTGTGCAAATTTCAAGACAGCGACGCAGGTGAACGCGCAAAATACCTGTAGAAGGTCCCAGTTAAGGCAGGCAGCATGGACTGGCGACTCCTCAAGAATGCACGCAAGCAGTCGTTTATGAGGTAGGTACAAAAGGTTGCTGGGCGGGATACGCGTCAGACAATCGAAAGGAAGGGGGCAGGCGAAATGATTAAGAGCATTAAATGTGTGCTTGTCGTAATTCCCAACAGAGAACCCCAGGGATAACTTCGGCACAAAAAGTAAAACTAGAGGGATCATTAAGGCAAGTTATTGCAAAGGGGAAAAAGGCCTGAGCTCGTTATCTCTTGCAAATTACATGTATATCGCGCAAAGGAGTGAAAGTGATTAAAGAGCTAGGAGAAAAGGAAGTGCCAGTTTAAAGGTGTGTGGGTGTTAATGTTTGCCGAGTGTAAGTGTGTGAAAAATGCAAAGCAACAACCCCAGTTTTGCATACTTTGGTAAAAGTTTGTTATCAACCACAGAGAGAGAGAATCGAATAGAAATCACTCATATTAAACAACCTTCAACCAAGTAGTTTGTGTAGAGAAAGTTTTTCTTGCTATTCCATAGGCATAAACACGTGACCTTGGAAATCCGAAAAATCGCCTTTTTTAATAAATACCATTTCGCGCTGGTGTGTGGGCGAAAATTCGATTAGGATGGCCCCTGACCTTAGAATAGATTAACCCTACCAAAACGATCACAAATTTAGTTAATAATGAGGGCAATTAAATACATTGCGAAGTCTGTGTCTTGAATTGACTGCACATTAGCAGGGCTCGATTGCAACTCCAAACAGAGGTTGGCTAACATACCAAAAAATAATAAATAACGACGATGCGTAAACATGGTGGTGTGGAATTAAACAAAAGACGGATCGTCCTTTTCCACATTTTTACTAAATTTGCAATTACTGAAAAATTATCAAGTCAATATATCGATTTATCATTGGGGTTTCAGTAACAAGATTGTGCCAAAACTGATAATTAAGTCTAAAGGGAAAAAAATCACAATGAGACTGTCTGCCGCCGTCAAGTTTTGGGTAAAGCGCTGAGACATAACCGGTTTATTAGAATTTCGTCTGAGATTTTTGTCACGACCAAGGTCTCTGAAGCTAACATTGCTACTGAAACCATCCTAGTAGAAAACAAATTACCTGTCGGCGAGAGCAGCGACCACGGTGGAATCAAGGCCACCAGAGAAAAGAACACCAATGCGGGCATGCAAACACGCAGCTTCGTTATTCGAAGCCGCCGTTGCGATGCAGCAGTCACGGCAGGAACGTGCAGTTAGCCGAACACGCATCGAAACTGCGTCGCCCAGACAACTCAACAGAGACTCAACAGGGTCGCACACGTTAGTGACGGCAAGCGCGTTCGTAACAAGAGGCCGGCGAACACCAACAACGTCAAACGTGGTATGAAATGGATGCTCGCGCCAAAATGTGGCATGTTGTTCGGACCAAGGGTACCAAGCGTCTATTTGGAACCCACCACATTTGCTCGCATGCGCCGTGTAGATTCCGGACGCAGGGACCTCGAAATAGTTATCGTCCTAAAACCCACAGAAATCATATAGTATACAGCAAACATGCTAGTATAAATGTAGATACAACGTACACTTGAGCCGCTGATACTACTGAGAGACGATAGGCTAGAATTGCATACAAGTGAACGTCGACCAAACCTATCTCGACCAAAAAACACGCGTTTCGAAGTTTTATGCACAAGTACGAAGGCGAATGAGCCGTTTAAACGGCTGAATGTGTCAAGGATTGCATCAGTGGAATCGACACAACAACCCAGCCTTTGAACAAGGATTTTAACACCGGCTCGAGGTTCCTCTTTGTCGTAAATTGTGCCATCCCAGAGAAGAACAAAATCGGCAAATTGTACTGGCTGAGTAAAAGAGATGCAGCCTTGATGGGAGGGGGCACTGCAGTAAGCCGTGTATGGTATTTCTTCGAGCGAAAATTCACAGCTGGACACGAGGTCGGGTCCTCGACGATTCAGGCAGGACATATCGACGTTGCTGAGACTCTATTACCCAAATGAACAAGCTCGTGTAAAACCGTACCTGGTAAATTGCAGTCGTACACAGAAGAATACCACACATAGTTCTGAATAAGGAAAACACGGGATTTAAAGTATTCGAGAATTTAAAAGATTAAAAAAGAATATTGATCGTCCAAGACAAAGTAAAGCAAGGGAAATGATAACACAAAGGAATTGAAGACCGCTACTGTACTTAATTCATGATGATTTAATTAAGCGAAACTTGAAACCAATTTGTACTTAAAATTAGCAAGCAAATCAACCTGAGAAATTAAAAGAATCCACCATTCTTTACAGTACTGTAATAAAATTGGAATTAACTACCTGGTGGAGTCAGGAATAAATAAGGGGAATTTTAACAAGAACTCCGATTCAAAGACCAAAGAGGTGGTCTAAGGAAAATGCTTCAACAGTCTTTTTTCATAGCCTTGAAAGGAAAAATTGTCCTGTCTTTGCAGAGAAAGGGATTAAAGACAAAGAGACATCGGATATATCAATTTTACCATGTTTGTGCCTGAAAAATATGTGCACCCTAGATTCAACTTCGCTTCGGTGACGCCCATGTAAACCAGGCAAACACTTGAATTACAACAATCGACAGGAATATAAAATGATGGAGTCTAGGAACGTGAAAGGCAATGAAAGACACAGGGAACATCATTTTTGGATCCTAGACGAATTATTCTATATACAAACCGAGGAAGCTCGCACACAGTGACGAAGCCATAAATCTAAACAATTGGAAAAGAAGATATCTAGTCAAGGCTGGAGATTTGCCTGAAAAGCAAATGCGGAGAGGTGCAAGGGACAACAGTACACATGTCAAGGAAACTACGGAGCCTATAAATACGTCATACGCATTACTTGTTGCTGATGACGCATGAAACCCAGAACTATTCCTTTTGCCTTGGCAGCAACAGGCCTCGATTCCTACTTTGAGACAATAAAACCAGAAGAAGATTAACACGTTTATGTAAATGACCAGCTACTTTTATGTGCACATTTAATCCTAATTAATGTTTGGAAATTACATGGGCAAAGAACTAAATATTAGCGATCAATTTAAAACGGGCCGGGTAAAAAACGTGTGGCTGTGGTGTGGCGTCGGATTAGGGCGCAGACATGTTGGGCCACCTGGTCTCAGCCAACCCCGTGTCTCTCTGCGATCCAAT